CTCCCTCTCTCCATGTATATATCTTCTTAAGCCAATTTTCTGTTGATGGACACTTGGATTGTTTCCATGTCTTGGCTATTGTAAATAGTGCTGCTGTGAACATTAGGGTGCATGTATCTTTTTGAATTAGAGTTTTCATCTTTTCCTGGTATAAACCCAGGAGTGGGATTGCTGGATCATATGGTAGCTCTATTTTTAGTTTTTTAAGGAAACTCCATACTGTTTTCCATAGTGAATAATTTATGAGGCATCAAATGCATGGGATTCTCTTGAAGATTCAATAGGACAATGAACAAAAAGCAGTTAGCAAGATGTCTGGCACAGAGTTAGCCCTCAGTAAATGGCTGGTGTTGTTGATGTTACTATTATTAAAACAGAGAGATTCATGGGAGAGTTTCTAGGGAACTTAAAGTTCCTCTTAGGCAGTTGTTATTAGTATCCCCTATTTGGTAAAGGAAGTAATGGAGACCTAGAGAGATCAAGGAAGGGTCAGAAAAGAAGTAAGTCCCAGGCCCCACCCCTCAAGGAGTAGAGGTGAGATGTACTTTGCCCAAGAGGATCACAGGAATAGCTGGGTGTGCTCGGAGACTTGGCCTCAGGGGCAGAGGGGAGGATGCCTGAATATGGATTCAGATATGAATTCAAACCCTGACTTCGCAACTTAGCAGCTGCATCATCCTGGACCAGTCATCCCTCTTCTCTGACCCTCAGCTTCTTCATCTGTACAATGGGGGAAATAATCTTAGAGGAGAAAACTGAGGGAAAATACATTCAAGTCCAAAATGCTGCACCCTGTGGTGCTTCATTCAGACCCACAGATGTACACTGAGGCTCCAACACAAGTTATCACCACATGCTCATGCTAGGACCCACATGTGCACACCTCATGTTTGGTCACAATTCTCCGAGGTGACAGTGGGAAGCTTATGAGCCAGTGTTTTAATTTATAAAGTGAGTTTTCATTCTTTCTCTCTTACTGGGTCCTGACAATAACCCTGTGAAGCAAATACTCTTGTTATTCCAGTTCTGGGGGCCCTGAAGCTTGACGGGGAGAAGTGGCTGCCCAAGGTCATCCTGCTAGTGAGTGACAGGGCTGGGGGAACCCAGCTTTTCTTGAGCCCAAAGCTATCTTTCCTTCCCGTCCCTTGTAATGGTCAGAAGCAGGGTCAGAGCAATGCTTGCCTAGTTCTTAGCTTTCCAGTTCTCTAATTTTTGGCTCCTGGAGGACTAACCCCGGGGTTCCTTAGGCAGAGTCACAGCCCATCCACAGACTAGTGGGCCAGACACATATACCTTTCTGCTGTCTCCCTCCTTTCTCCTTCCAGGCTTAGGCTTCAACTTCATCCCTTAAAGGACCCTGGCATAGGAGACCACCTGAAAATGGGGAGAGGGGTGGGAGGGCTGAGAGGATCATGCCCATTTTACAGATGAGGAAACGAAGACCCAAAAGGTCAATGACTTGCGGGAGGTTACCCAGCCTGACTTTGTCAGGGGTAGTTGGTCTGTACTGCAGAGAGCCACCCTCACCACCTCCTGACCCTGTCTCTCTTCTTCCTGGCACCACCTACAGCGAGCTGGACCACAGTGGGCCAAGGACACCTCAGGACAGGTTGCCGGGGCCCAACATGGAGGAGGCAAGTGGGCCCCTGGCTCAGGACAAGGCCCGAGTGGTGAGTGCCACACTGACATGGCGGCAGCGGCCCCCTGCCCAGGAAGAGATCAAACACCGTTTTCACAAGGTGTCCCTGGTATCAGGGGCCCAGTTGGAAGCCCCCCAGGAGGAGATGTTTGAGTATAGCCACCGTCGAGAGGAAGTCAATGGCTTTGCTGTACAGGAAGAAGAGACTATGAGTCACCAGGGCCCCAGGGATGGGGCTGGCTCCAGGAGCTTCCAGAGCCATGGGCCCATCTTTTCCAAGAAGTATACACTACCTATCAAGGAGAAAAGGCCAGTGGGAAGGCCCAAGGGGGCTGTGGACCAGGGTGATGGCAGCCCTCAGGACGCCAGGACTGAGCCGCCAAGCCCGGGAGGTGTAGCCAGGACTGAGTTTTTGGTGCCGGTACATGGGCCCCGTGAGCCAAGCCCCCACCCAGGTGTGAGTCTCAACAGTGGGAGCCCCTGGAGCCTCGAGGAACGGCGGGTGACGCGCACTGTGCGGACCACCATGGTGGTGGGAGGGCACGTGGACCGACGGGTGACCAGCTCTGTGACCAATGCTGTGGGGCCAACGTTCTCAGGCGAGGCCCTGCCAAGGGGCCGCAATGCTGTCCGCACGATACGGGCAATGGTGGTGAGCCCCCGCGCTGAGGGCTCACCCAGCCGCAGTCAGGCCCTGGAGCTGCTAACCAGCCTTGTGCCTGCTGAGCGTAGCCCACTTGCCAGCCGGCTTCCCAGACCCACAGCTGTTGTGCCAAGGAGCCCAGATCTGGGCAACTCAGAGGGTGCAGCCCTGGGGCAGCTGCCTGAGACAGGGGCAGCAGAGCCAAAGGACAGATCTTCCCAGGCCCCTGCAGGCATCCCAGAGGGTGCTCACCCACCTCAGAACCAGGATGTCCTTGCAGCCCACCCAGACCAAGACCAGGACAGAGCCCAGAATGCCAGGGTCCCTGAGGTCCCGAGGGTGCAGAGTGCCTCCAGACCCACCCAGCTCCCTCTCCAGACCTCTCAGGACCACGCACCAGTACCCTCTTCTCCTGGACTCCAGACCCCAAATCCCTCCCTGGGCCTAGTTCACCTGCCAGATAAGCCTGAGGTACCTGTTCATGCTAGGGCCCAGCTTAGTCTTGAGCCCAGGGTACCCCAGGCCCTGCCCTCTGTAAAAAGGGAGGGGCTTCCAGATCCCCCTGCTGCCACCATCCTGCCCATGGTGAAGACTGAGGTGGTTACAGTCCCTGGACAATCTCTTGCTCCATCCTCTGTAAGAAGGAAGGCTGTCACCAGCCAAGGAGGTCTTTCTGCTCCATCCTCCCCAAGGAATAAGGTTGTTCAGGACTCTGAAAATGTCCCTATCTTCTCCCTTTCCCCCCAGAAAGAGGTAGTACAGGATCCGAGTGCTCTTGCTGCCTCATCCTCCAAACCAACCAAGGTTGTCCAGGGCCCAGAAGGCAGCCCTAGCACCCAAAAAGAGGTTGTCCAGGGTTCTGAAGGCAGCCCTGCCCCTCCCCTCACCAAGGAAGAGGTTGTCCAGGGCCCCGGTGCTTCTGCTGCCCCATCTTCTGCCCAGAAAGTGGTTGCCCAGGACCCTGCTGTTCTCCCTGTTGCCTTCTCAGTGGGCAAGGTGTCTCCCAGCCCAGGAGGCCCCCTGGCCCCAGCGCCGATGAGAGCAGAGGCCAGCCCAGAGTCCCAGCTTGTCCCTGACTCCACCAAGGGCAAGGCGCTCCTGGAGCCATCAAGGGAGGAGGAGGAAGTGGCCCTGACGGCAGACCTGGAGATTTTCCTGGATACCCTACGGAGCATGGAGCCCCCTGAAATCCTCCGCACTCATCGGCTGCCTCGAGCCCCCCGCTCCTCCTACCTGGCCATGTATGCCACGCTGCCGGCCATCGAGGAGGACCAGCCTGGGCCATGGGTGCTGGGACCCAGCCCCCAGGAGGTGCCCACACTGGAAGAAAAAGAGGACGAGAAGGGAGAGGAGGAGGAAGAACTGGAGAACCCCTACCTGAGTGACGATGAAAAGCTCCAGCGCAGGCAGGAGAAAGCCGGGCCCAGCCCTTCCCACCCTGCCCGGCCCCCCCAAGTCTCTTGCTCTCCTCTGGAGATGATGAAGAGGCACGTGGCAGGTGCCAAGGGCTCCCTCCCAGAACTGGGGCCAGAGTGGCAAGCAGGCAGCAGGCCCACTTCCCGTCTTGGAGGCAGCCTTCTCTTTGGGGGTCTGCTGCCTGCCCCCAAGGAGACCCCCACCTTGGAACCATTGGGTGCAAAACTATCTACTCTGCCACCTCATGGGGCACCAGGGGTCAGGAAGGTGGCAGGACAGCTGCCCCTGCTCTACAGCGAAAGGCCACCTCCAGAGAAGTCCGTGCGTGCCCAGCCCCCGGAGGGGTGGGTGAGTGAGGCCTTGGGTGGGTAAGGGAGGGGGCCTGGTCTCACCTGCACCAGGGTTTGGATGGTATAAGGATCTTGGCACTGGGAAGCAGTCTCCAGGGGCTAGAGGCTTGGGTCTGAGGTCTAGTTCAGTGTGATCACATTTATCTGGGCCACAGTCTTCTTATCCGAAGAGCAGGAGATTCGGATTCCAAAGAGCTTGGTGGTCTGGTATCTTGGAACCTGGGGAAGGGGAGTGATAGACACCCAGCTCCTGGGATAGGGTGATGAAGCCCCTGGGGGTTGGGAACAAGTGTAGCATCCCCTGTGGGCCACCTCTTTGGGGGTGGAGGCCAATAGGGAGGATGTGGGATCCCTGGAATGGCCAGTTGTGGGAGGCAGTAAAGAGGCAACCCCATAAGACTTATCACCGTCCTTCATTCCAGAGCCCAGCATTGAAGACCCAGGGCAAGCTGAACACCAGGCCTGGAAAGGTAGGGGGTAGAGGGCAAGTGGGTGGGGCAGCAGGAGGCAGGGGCCTGGGGCTAGGGCCTGGGGCTAGGGCCTGAGGACCCCTTCCATGCCTTCTCCAGATGATCCTCTTCTCAGAGCCTGGCTGCCAAGGCAGCAGCAGGGATGTTTGGGAAGACACTGCTGATGCTTCTGGTTGGGCCTGTGTGGCCTCTATACGGGTGGTCCGAGGCTGGTGAGTGTGAAGTGCCCTGCGGGGTTCTTGCGTGTGAACCTGGGGAATGTGAGGGCAGTGAGAAGTGCCCAGGCCAACCTGGCAGAAACCTCCTCAGCTACTCAGAGACCCTGCCTTGGGGTACATCCTCTCCCCACCCAGTGACTCTGGGTCTCTGTGCCCACAGCTGGGTGCTGTATGAAGAGCCGGAGTTCCGGGGCCGGAAGCTGGTCCTCCCTGAAGGAGATGTGGAACTCGGAGCCCCCGGGCCAGCGTGGAGTACCCAAGGCATTGGCTCCCTGAGAAGGGTAGTCAGAGTGAGTAGTTGTGGGTAGGGACCAGATGTGCCCCGTCTACCCTAAGCCCTGGGCCCTGAGGAGGGAGATGGCCTCAGGTACCTAGAGTTGAAATTTCTGGGAAAGATCATATGGGGTCGGAGCCTGAAGGGGGTTTACTGTGGACTCACCTATAGATTCCTGACCTTGAAGCCAACTGGAGAAGAAAGGGGTTCTGGGGGTGCTCAGATTGGCTTGGGGAGGCAGGGGCCAGACAAAGGCCAAGCCTCAGTTTGAGAAAGCAGCCTGGGGGAGTTTGAGCTAGTGCTGGAGAAGGATTCAGTTAGAGCAACAGAAGTGTGTGGGGAGTGGCTGTGGGAGCTCACCCCCGACCCAGGGCCCAGGCTTTCAGGCCCACAGCCAGACCCCAGGTGCCACGGATGTGTGTTGATTCATTTGCTCACAGATGCTCATTAATGTCTGCTGTGTGGCAGGCACTGTGCCAGGCAAAGAGCAGGTGGGGGAGACCTGCTCTTTGCCCCACAGGATTCACGGTCAATACAGTATGAGGGCTGGATTTGAAGCAGGAATGCCATATAACCAGATTAGAGATTTATAAACATCCCTCTGGTTGCCAGGAGGAGAAAAGATGAGGTGGGGATCCTGGAGGCAGGAAGACCAGAAAGGGCTGTGATTTCCAGCCGAGGGGCACCCCTGAACTCTGAGGGAGGGGTACATGGTTTGAAAAGACATTGTCCATACTATAATTTCATATCTGTAAAGTGGGGGAAAATAACATTGTTTTCATAACACAAATTTACAAACTACTAAAATTAAGCTTGAAAAAGCCACTTTGGCCACTAGAGAGACCCAGAAGAGAAAGCATAAGTCTAAAAGCAGGGCCTAGCGGATGTTTTTGGTTTTTTGTTTTGTTTTGTTTTTTCTGTTTTTAATGGAGTTCAGAGCTGTTGCAATCCTCCTGGTAAGACAGGACGAGTCTTAACTAGGGCAGTGGCCCAGCCATGCAAAGGAGAGGACAAGAGTTTTCAAAGCCTCCCCAGAAACACACAAATGTTTGTGGACAATTTACTGTGAACTTCTCACAATAAATTCATCTTCATGTGGGAGGTAATGAGGTACAAGAGAAAAACAAGGACTTTTCTGAAGTCAGATGGACCTGGGTTCATTTGATTCATTCAGCCTAGTGTGTTCCAGGCATGTGGGAGGTGCTGGGTTGCAACAGTGAACAAAAACTACACTGCTCTGTTCTTCGCCCTGCTACTTACAGGCTGTGTGCCCTCAGGCAGGCTGCTTAACTTCACTGAGCCTCACTTTCCTAGCCTGTGAATGGCGTAATAACTCCCATTGGGAGGACCAAATGAAAAGGGGTAGGACAGGCCCTTAGCACATGACTTGCACTTAGTAGATGCTTCATAATCATTTGATGAAGGAGTTTGTAAATGAAAATGATCCTGGGGAGGAAGAAACACCCAGAATGCAGAGAGGAACTGCTGGTTCCTGGGATGAGTTGCAGGTGGAAGCCAGTCTGGACAGGGGCAGGAACTATAAACAAAGGAAGGGTCAAAGCTAGACCTCAGGAAGTGGTTGTCCATCATGCCCGTCCAGCCAGCAGCCTGAAAATCAGGCTCCCAGAGCCAAGGCAAAGAGCAAGGCACTTGGCAGGCTCCTGCTGGGAACTTTGGTCTCAGGTCCCCAAGGGCCAGCACCAGACCAGCAAGGTTTTAGTCTCAGGCTTGTCTGGCCAACGTTGCAGAGAACACCCCAGTCAGCTTTCTGGCTTCTGAGGAGATGGCCACAGAGCTTTCCCAGAAGCCCCCAGGAGCCCCAGCTAGGCAGACTTAGGGAGGCAGATGTGGTCGGGGGTAGCTGCTGCAGGGTGTTGTTTTACACTTCATTTTTCCACCCTTCTTCTGCAGGACTACATTACCCCAGAAATCAGTCTGTACTCTGAGGAGGGCCTCAAGGGGCAGCAAGTGAAGCTTACTGAGGCCTTGGAAGACCCCCAGCGCCTGGAGAGGCCCCTGCAGGTGGCATCCGCCACTGTCTCTGCAGGACTGTGAGTCTGCGCTGTTCTGGAAACCCTTCACTAAACATTTACTGTGCTGGGTGCTAGGGACACACAGGTGACAGGGCATAGTTCCTGCCCTCAAAATGTACTAAGTCTACTGGTGGGGCCAGGCAAGCAAGCAGACAGTAGCAATCCAGATTTCCAGGATGGAGGAGTATGGGGCTTCAGGAGCAAAGAACAGCACCAAAGCAGCCTGAGATCAGAGAAGCCTTCCTGGAGGAGGAGACCCCTCAGCTGGGATGAGTTAGCCCCAGGAGAATCTAAGCTCCATGAGGGCTGGGACTTTGTACATTTTGTTCACTACTGTATCCCAGATGCCTGAAGCAGGGCCTTGGCATGGGGTAGATCCCCCTAAATATTTGTTAGTTGAATGAATGAGGAAAAGAGTATACTAGCAGAGGGAACAGCACCTGTAAAGGCCCAGAGACGAGAGATCTAAGCTTTGAAAGTTCAGTATGACCAGAGAAAGCAGCAAGTGGGGAGATGAGAGGCCCAGGAGGAAGGCAGGGGGACAGAGCAAAAAGGCCTCTTTGTGCAGCTGGTCTAATTGTGAGGCTAATGGGGAACTACCCAGGTATGGGTGCTAGAACTCTCCAGCTGCTGTGTGAAATTAGAGTGTGCCAGGTCAAAGGAAGGGAGATGAGTGGCTGCTGCAGGAGATTATGGGGGCCTGAAATGTCCCCCAGGGTCCCCTTGAGGGGGACCTCTCCTTCAAAACCTCCTCCCTTCTAAACCTTCCACCCCATCCATAATCTGTGTTCCTGGGAGTCTGGGGTGCAGCTGCCTCTCTGCCTCTCCCCAGGTGGCTTCTATACCCCAAACCCTTCTTTGAAAACACTCCCTGCATCCTGGAGCCTGGAGAGTACCCCACCTCAGAGGCATGGGGTGCATCAGACCCCAGTGTGGGCTCCCTGAAGCCCATGAGATTGGTAAGCAGCAGCTGGTCCCAAGTAGCCTTATCCTGTAGTCTGGGGAAAGAGGCAGGGCCTGGGAGCTCCTACTGGGAATGGGATTGGAGAAGAGGGAGGATTAGTCCAAGGGGATGGGGGAGAGGGAGGACATGGGTTGGCTATTTTTAGGAGTCTCTGGAACAAGTAACCCCTAGGTCACCAGCCCCATCTGCCTTCCCCCACCTCTGGGCTGGTGTCTCAGCTCCATATCCTCTGCAGGGCTGCCCGAGTGTGGAGAAGCCAGGGGAGCCCAAGGTAAGAGTCTGGGCTTTAGTGTCAAAGAGGGCCTTTGGGTGGCTGGGTGGGGAGTGTGTGCGTGTGTGGTTATCATGGTCTGGACTAGAAGATGGGAGAGGAAGGTGCTGCAGACCAGAGGCTTGGTCACGGTCAGGGAGACCATGGAAACGGATGGGCTCACTAGGAACTGACTTTTGATATGTAAGGATCAGGTCAGAGGTTGGGGAAGAGACAGGACTTGGGTAAGGGCATGGGGCTCAGTGAGGAAGTGGGAGGGCTTAGCTCTGGGCTGATGCTAGGTAGAGTTATTCTGGGTTGGCTGGATATGTCTGGGTCCAGATCCCACCAACCTTAAACCACCCCTCTCCCCCACCTCGCCCCCCAGGCTGTGGTGTATGAGGCCCCAGACTTTCAAGGCCAGAGTTGGGAAGTGAGCCGAGACATCTATAACCTTCAGCAGCCAGAGGACAGCCAGAGCCCCCACTTGGCCTCAGTGGGGTCCCTGCGAGTTCTTGGGGGCTGGTGAGACTCAGGACCCTTCCTTCTACCCCATTCTCCCCACTGGCCTCTATCCTCGGGGGTGGGAAGTGACCTGGGCTGCCTCGGGGTGGGGGCAGCTATCTCACACATCTATGGGCTTCCTGCGACTGAGTCTGTTCGTCTGCTTCCCCCTTCCCCCAGCTGGGTGGGTTACGAGAAGGAAGGTTTCCGGGGCCACCAGTATCTGCTGGAGGAGGGGGAATACGCTGATTGGTCACACTGGGGAGGCTATAACGAGGCGCTGACCTCCCTGCGGGTCATCCGGACGGTAAGCAAGAGAATTGGGATATCTCGTCTCTGGCCACAGCCATACTTCCCCCGGTACAATTTGTTGAGGGAAGAATTTGTGCCCCCTCTCCGTGTTCTCCAGAGCACCTGAAGTGTTCCCTGAGGTCTAGCCTCTCTCCTTCCTGCTCCCCTTCCCCAGGCCACATTGATCACCTCACCCGAAACAAAGTCCCCTGGTGGGATGCGTCCTTGGGGCCTGGGCACTCCCAGGGGTTTCCGTCGGTGGGCAGGAGAAACCTGACTGTCCCTGGGGTCCAGGACTTCGGGGACCCGGCCTTGGTGCTGTTTGAGGCCATGGACTTCGAGGGGCACGGCGTGGAGGTGAGCGAGGCATTGCGGGACGTGGAGCTGGCGGGACATGGACCCCGCACGCAGGCCATCCATGTGCTCAGTGGCGTGTGAGTGACGGGGGCTCCCGGAGTGGGACAGGCCAGGGGCGGTCCCAGCAGAGGTGCCGGCTCCGCCTAGCTGACCCGCTCCCCGCTCTTCCTGCAGGTGGGTGGCCTATCAGGAGGTGGGCTTCTCGGGGGAGCAGTACGTGCTGGAGAAGGGGGTGTACCGTAACTGCGACGACTGGGGCGCGGGCAACAGCGCCCTCGCCTCTCTGCAGCCGGTCCTGCAGGTGCGTGCCCGCCGCGGGGGCGGAGCCTCTTGGGGCGGGGGCGGAGCTTGGGATGCGCCCTCCGCGTAAGGACCTGGAAGGACCAGGCTCGGAGCTCTGGGGACGGGTTCTCTGGGAAGGGACACCGCTAATGCAGACCCGGTCAGTTCGGCAGCTGGGAAAGAGTCGGAAATATTGAAATCAGAGGAACTGAGGCTAGGGGCTGGTACCCTCCTTAAGCCTCGAAACTTTGGTCCTTCCCTTCAGGTCGGAGAGCACAATCTGCACTTCGTCTCAAAGGTAAAGGAGCTGTTGGGGTCCGTTGTTTCTTCTTCCCTCATTTCAACTGTCTCTCCTTCTTCCCCATTCTATCTCACTCCGTCGCTCTCCTTCACTCTCATCTCTTCCCGTCTCTGCCGCCAGATTCAGCTTTTTTCTGGCCCCGACTTCCTGGGCGACCATATCTCCTTCGAGGATGACCAGACATCTCTGCCCTCCTCTTTCCAGCCCCAGTCTTGCCGTGTCCTCGGCGGCAGGTAAGGACCTGAGGGAGAGGAGATGAGGTGCACCTGCCCTGAAGCGCTTAACTCAGATTGGAAGTCGGGTCTATAGGAAGGTCTTTCTTTCAAATGATTTCTTTCATTTAGTTTCCTTGAGATTAGCTATTCTGTCTCAAATCATTCAATCTTAAAGCAAAATAAAATTTTAATGGAAAACGTAAAACTTGTAGACAGTATAGTATAAAGAACCTCAATCTTGTTCCATCTATTCCTTTTCCCTTTTTATTTTTAAAGTGGGCTATTTTAAGTCCCCGACCCAAAATAAAATTTCACAGGTAAATACTTAAATGTGCGTCTCTAATAAGAAAGGACCCCACCCCCCACATATCCACAAGTTATTACCACATCAAATCAAATTATCAGTAATTTACTATTACCTAATACCCAGTCCATGTTCACATTCCTCCCATTGTCTCAAAAAATGCCTTTATGAAATTGGTTTGTTTTTCTCAGGATCCAGACAAGGTCCACGCATTGCATTGGATCTGTTTGATCTCTAAGGTATAACAGTCCCCCCCACTTCATTTTGTTTTACGACATTTATTCGTTTGAAGAAGCTCAATAATTTGCCCTGTAAGTTTCCCATTTTCTGTATTTGACTGATTGCTTCCTGGCGTTGTTTCTAACTTGTTCCTCTGTGTCCCATATTTCCTGTAAATTGGTATTTAGCTCTAAAGGCTTGATGAGATTCAGGGTGTTTTGTTGGCAGGAAGACTGCATAGGCGGTGCGTGTACTTCTCACTGCATCACATCAGGAGCTGCATGTCTGGTTGTTCCATTTTAATGATATCAAGATCTATACATTATAAGATTCCTCATTTACCTTTCACCTAATGATTTTTAGCATCCATTGATGATAATTGCCTAGATATATTATTTCTTTAGAGGTTACAAAATTATGATTTCCTAATTTTTGTTATTCCTTCTACATGTATTAGCTGGAATACTTCTATAAAGAACTTTCCCTTTTCAACTATTTGTTTACCTAAAATGCTTCATACAAAAAAGGCAGTTTGACCTTTTCCCAAGAATCAGTGTTTGCCCCTTTCTCGTCAATTTTCAGAATAATTTCTGAATTAATGCCCTAGCAACCTCCAAAGCTGACCAATGAGGATTTTTTAAAGTATTGTTATAACTCATGGGTTTTTAAGTATTTGAAGTGCTCCATTCCATGGGAGTCAGTGCTCTTTTGTGTACTCAAATTGTTTTATCTTTGGCAAATGGGAGCCCCTCCAAGTTGCCTCCTGGGTACTTTTGATATGACCCCAATAGCTTTTTAAAAACTTCCTTGTTTTTCTGGTACAATAAGATGCTTCAGGATCATTTAGTACATCTTTTTTGCCTCAAATCTGGAATCAGCCATTTCCAAAAGAACCCTGGTTGCTTTTGATGGGTAATGCTGTTTAGAGGCTGAAATCTGCATGCTAGGTGTTTCAAAATTATAATGCTATTATTACTACTAACAGTAAAAACTAGTGAATGCTGTTTGAGCTTTCTGTTGTTCTTTTTGTCCCCAGAACATTCACCTACATCCCATTAGGTATGTACAGTTCAAAATATTGGGTTTTTAAGACATTTGAAATAAT